TTATGCTACATTTATTCTTGTAACTGTTGATCATAGATATATATTTCCAATCGTAAGTATGTTTTCAATAAAGAAACTTCATTTTCTCGCATTTTTTAATTTAAAAAGTAAATTTTGTCAAAATTATGAAACATAATTTTTTATACGGTCTTCTGGTCCATATCTTTAGTAAAATATTATATTCATTATAAAAATGAACTACAATAAATTAGATGTCCGTACAACAAAAAGTGGTCAATATATTTAAGTTTTGAGATAATTTTTTCTGAAAATTCATGGGTCGTATGCAAAAGAGAATTCATGGGTTGCATGCAACTAAAAATGAAATATCAGTTTAAGAAAAATCTTCTGATGTTAACATATTAAATGACAGATTGTCATGAAAAGTTTCGATCAATACTATTTTTCCCCCGAAAGGCAATCTTATTCACATATGCTTTATATTTCATATTCTAAAATACATTCTGAGGTTTCAAGTATTAGCACTAAACCAACTAGAAACATTATTAGTATAAATGAAAAAAGAAAAAAATTCTAGTTCAGCAAATTTTTCTGTGTGACTATTAGGTTTTGATCTTAAAGTAATAAAAATACGAATGGATATTATTTATTATGAGCTTTTAGCATCTAAAATTTGTAAATCACTTGTGTGAAAATTCTTTCCGCATACCAATTATAAGAAAAGTATAAATTAACGAACTTTAGTAAATAACAAAGGAAAGTCATTGAATGAAATTAAAAGTAAAAAAAATATTAATCTCGAATTATTCTAATTATTTTTTAATGACCCAAGGAGATAAATCTGGAACCTGAACTTAGAACTCTGTAAAAAATCTAGAAGACTGTATAAAATTCGGAGCTTTTACGAAACTGAATTTTTAATTTTGAAAATGGCAAAATATATGCATGAATATATTTGCCTTAAATAAAACTGTATATGTCTGAGACCAATGGCTGTGAGAAGAAAGCTCGAGTAAGAACTGCTTTTTACACACGGTGTATAAAGCAGTTACATTCCAAACAAGATTAACTGAGCTTACAATTTCATGTATATATATTCTCAACGTATGCAAATTAAAATTTCATGCATTGAAATTACATACATAAATTTTCATTGTATGGAAATTTAAAACAAAATATATGCAGGAATATTTATTTGCCTGAATTCAAGTTGTAATTAGTTAAAGTTTTATGTGTCTGAGACCAATGGTTGCGAAAACAAAGACTTCGTAAAGCCTGTTTCATGCTCTCGGTGTATAAAGCAATTACAATCCATAAAAGGTTAATTGCGTTTTTTATTTCATGCATATATGTTTTTAGTGTATTTAAGTTAACATTGTATACATTGAAATTATATATAAAAATTTTCAATGTATGTAAATTTAAAAATGTCTAAATACAAGCGAGAATATTTGCCTTAATTGTAACTGGAAGTATATGCCTGATAACGGTTGCGAAAACAAAGATCGCCTAAGGACGGCTTTATGCGCACGGTATATAATTCAGTTACAATTCAAACGCTGTTAATTGAGCTTACAATTTCATATACGTATGTTTACACGCACCTATGTACATTTTGCTAACAAGTTATATTTTCTCCCCGACTGATATTCTATTGTTTTGCCATTTTGAAGCAGTGTGATACGGCAGCTATCAACAATCTTCTAGCATATAGAATCATTTGAGAATATTTGATAGATTTTATCCCCGAGTTTTATGCTTTATAAAAGCGCTCTTCACTTTTCCTGTACTATTAACATTTGAACTGTTGGAAAAAATTTAATTTTCCTCAGTAACTTACATGTAATTAGTTATAGGCATTAAAGTAACAGGCGTATAATTTTAAGAGAAATTTAAATATGAATGTTGGCAGTACTGTTTTAAAGATACGACAGTCTAATTTCCCGTACAAAGCTATTTTTTATTTCTCGAAAGATAAATTTCTGATTATTGAGGATATTTCAGCAAACTCCGTCAAAAACCTTCTAAATCAAGTCCATTGTAAAAGTTATCTTTTGTTGCGTTTCTGATTTGTATTCCTGCAAAAATTTCGTCTCCGATTTAGAAGTACTTATCTCTAGTAATTTCCTATACAAGAATGGATATTTCATCGAATTATTTTTTCCCAAAGTATTCACGAAGCTTTTTACCAGATCAAATTTTATGCGGGGGAGAGAAGCGCAGTAGAATCTTGTTCTAGCCCACTAACGGAATATTTTGGGCATTGTTTTCTTTTGCCTCACGTGAGTTCTTTTCTTTTCCTCCACCTCAAATAATGGTGTTGAGTAGCTCTAACAGACCTTTTAGATATGATGCAATAGTGCTTTGTAAAACTCCTTGCATGGACTTTAACATCACTATGACCTTCAAATTCTCGTAAACAGTCCTCTCATATTTACTGCAATTTATAAAGTTCAACAGTACTTTGTCATTATTGTAGATCCCACACGTGAACGCATTGTGCAACAGTAAGGGCTTTGTAAGTGCATAGTAAATCTCACACAGGGACTAAGGGTCTTGCATTACCTTTATGAATGAGAATTACTTTCGTATTTGTCCAGAACACGTGTACTTGTTTGACTGTGAAAATGACCTCCCTATTTATAAGGGAAAAGTTTCCAGTTCTTGGGAAAATCCAAAGAGAATAGTAATAATACTATTAAGGAAACTATATTAAATAATAATAATATTAAATTATGTTATTATAATTTATAGCTTAATTATAATTTAATTTAATTATATTATTAAATTAATTTAATTATATTATATTATTATTAAAGCAACTAAATAACGTTTTGCATTATTAAAAATAGCAAAAGTAGCTATATGTGCATTCTATTCCAGTGATTACCAACTTTTGTCTTACACTGATACCTTATTTTCTTTATTAACCTCCTTACTTTTTCTCTGTAACATATAGCATGTAACATAATATTTCAAAAATTTGCGTATGAATAAAGATAACAATTAGACTAAGAATACGAACAAAAGTTTTGAAAAAAATACCTTATTAGATTTATGTTTTATTTTTTGTATTATTATTATTTTAAATTTTGCAAATATAAACAAGTTTTCAGAAACAAAGTTAATGATTCTAACTGCGCAAAAATTTGATTTTTATTAACATATGGATGACGTGATGTACTGATGCAATTTTTCAATATTTAGTATAAAATCAATCAGCTCGTTCTAACATATTCCCCCTATTTCTTGCTTTCCGTAGCTAATTACTGACTTGATTAAAGCCGACTTCTCCTATGCAAGAAGAGGGACAAGTCAAAAATTTTGGCTTCATAACAATATTTATTTTTGGATATTTCTCTCGGAGGAGTTTTCAGTTCCGAAAAATCTATTTGTTTTGAACTATGCTCGTGTTTCAATATTCTCATTCAATGCAATCAACGCAATTAACACTCAACTTTTCTTGCGTAATGATATCAAGACGTAATGCATCACAGTTCAGAGGGCCTTTGAGCTATACTGGTACATTCAAATTTTCAGTGTCTTAGACGCACACATTAAAATCTTCTTTCTAATTTTGCAAGGGGTTACATTTTTTGAGAATACTTTGTTTTCTTCGTATTTTTTTCGGTTGTGCTTGTGTTTCTGCATTTTTTTATACTGTTTGAATTTTTATATCTTGATGTTTTGTATAAAAAATGTAGGCATTTAAAAATATTATTGGTTTTTAAAATATATTAAATATTTATTCTGCATTTTCCCATTACGTTTATTTTATATGATATCTTGTTTCTACATTTACATGATATACCTTTATATTAATAAGTACTTAATTATTTATTTTGTTAATATTTTTCCCTTGCAATAAAAGAGATCTTGAGTATGCCTATCAATGCCAGGTATATTTGGCAATAGACCTCCAATCGACATCTTGATCATCATTGACTCCTTTTACAATTTCATCGAACTCAAGAGAGTCAATACAGACCCAGTTGGAAATCCAGATGAACAGAAAACTGACGCATAACAGGGAAAGACTAACTGCATATTTATAATGAGTTTGACAGAATTTAAAAAGTCCTTATACTCTTTTATCTGAGAAATTTTGGGGATGTTGTTTTTGCTTTTGTTTTTGTGAATCGGATTAGAATGCAGGTAAAATGTAATAAACTCTTATAATAAGGTTTTATGTTATAAGGTATTTTCTCTCTTTTTTCCGCAGGCCTTCGTGGTATAATTGGAAGCGTACTCGACGCGTATTCGAAAGGTCCGGGATTCGAATCTCGGCGAGGGCAATGCACAATTTTCCTGTCTCATGCATAAAAAAAGCATAATAATGACTGTGCACTGTCTTGTATAATTGATGACCGAATCCGTTTCATTTGTATTTTCAATAAGTTTATATGAAATTTAAAGCAGTCTCGGAAACAGTATACCTATGTTATTAGATAAAGACTGTGCGAAACAGTAAAAGATGCATTATGGAATGAGATATATTCTTCATGAAAATTGTATATTACAAATATTTAAGGAGTAAAAAGGAGAGAGATTTGGATTATGACTGATTAATAGAAATTTAGAGATAGATCAGCTTATGACCATGATACTATTGTTTGCTGTAATATCCTTTATCCGCCATATATAGCCTTTTAACTCTTGATAAGTATGTTGGAAAATTTATGATAGAACATTTTTAAAAAGCTTTTTTTAATAAACAAGTAAAAATAAATCTTGAGCAGCAAATAAAAGTTAATAATTTTTTATTAAAATATATTTATTCATTAGATTCATTTTAATAAAAAGTTTGACAGTTTTTATATAAATTAATATATATTTAATAAAAACTTGAGAATTTAAAAAGTAAAAATAAATGAAACCATCAATGCAAGTTATTTATTTCATTTTCGGGTTTAAAAAGTGAGATAAAGATATAAATTTATTTTTTTTTTTCTTATTTCATAAAATTTCATGCTGCATTATTATTTACCTCAATTTTGATCTGCAAACTGAAGTGTAAAGTTAAACTCAAAACAACTTGCTACAAAAAACATTTAACTAACTTAAAGGAATGTAGGAATTTTATCATATATAACCGTAAAATTTACAAATATCCAGTTACGAACATCGCACTATAACCTTTTATGTAGTGTTCCAAAAATATTTCATCATCACCATATTTTATTTAAAAAGAAAAGCTTCTAAATATTTTGCTGCTCTGTTTATATTACATATATTATACATACAGAGGAGGGTCGCAACTCCAAACCTCTCAAACTTAAAGTTTGTCCTCTGTCCATCTATCACATATATACGATGCTCACAGTAGTGACATATGCAGAAGAGGTAATGTACGAGTAGAATGCTATTGACGACATCGTGATTTAATGAATTCCATTTCACAGTTGGGGGTTTCCCTCGTTCGTAAAGCGTTTTGGATGAGATCCGTCTTCCTAGACAGGCCAAAGCTTGCTTAACAAGTTACACTTTAGGCATCCCGTAAATACTTCTGAAGGTTCGCCAGCAGCTTAGACCAGTGATGTCCTTATTATATCCTGCTAAAAGAAAATTAGAGATAATTATTGTTCTAAAATGGATGCCATATTTTAAGTAGTATTTCATCTGCGTAATGAAACATTACGTAAAGTCATTCATTTGAATCGTAATACTATAGTATTTTGGTAACAATGACTAACTGATTATCAATTCAAATTTAATAATTAGAAATGTTCAAAATAATTAAGAGAATTATATCCACATATTTTTATGCCTAATTCATTTCGACAACATTCATAATGAACAAAATGTACCTTAATACATTCATTCAACCAACAACGGCCATTGGTAAGTCACTGAGCACCGGTAGATTCACCCGGATTCAAATCCCGTAATGAAAGCTTTTGTGATTTTTCCTATGTTTAATATAGACACTAACCAGTTTCCTCTAACACACCCGTGACGAAGACATCCCTCCTTAGCAGATACCTTAATGTGCATCACCAAAAAATTAATTAAGAAAATACATAAATTTGAAAATTATGCATGTCTAAAACAGCATCTTTATTTGCAGTTAAATATGAAAATTAATATCTGATATTTGTGAGACTCATTTTATCAAATACGTCTTATTTAGAAATAATGCTCAACGTTGACGAACGTCACGCTCAACGTCACGGAAAAATCAAGAACCAGAGTAATATATCAAATTCCAGATCCTTTTCAAAATTAACCTAAAATTCTCATTTTTTTATGAGCTATTCTACATTTATGTTTACTTTTTATGCTTTGAAATCGTAATTATTTGGCTATAAAAAACATACCTGAATGTTCCATTCTTTTATCATTAAGAAAGTTAAAGCTTTTATACCGCAATGAATGTGTTACATGCACGTAAAAAACACATATAGATATGTTTCTAGCTCTTTTTATATATCTACAACGTGAGCGCTAATCATTAAATTCGCTTGCGAATTTTAATTGAACCATTAAATAAATTTTGAAACATTATATGTGCTGATAATTTTACCAGTAAACTGATTTAAAGTAAATACCTGCTTTAAATTAAAATTTTATGATGCTTAATGATATTTCTGAAACGGGTGGTTTAAAAATATTAAGTTTCTGTAACTTTCAAGATATTTGAAATTCCAATGACGAACTTTTGAAAGCTTTAATTCCGTAAAAGTAGTCATCAATACTTTGTATTTGGAAAATTATACTAGTCCTTCGAATTTTTGTAATGAAATCATGTACCAGTCATGTGAAATTTCTACACTTCCCAAAGTTTTAATTTTTTTATCAGTTATGAATTATCAGTTCATAACTGAACCCTTTGATAATATTTAGCCAAACTAGCTTTCATACATAATAGGTAAAGGCACAGGATTCTCTAGATATGTGCAACGCCCTCCCACCTTAATATAATTTTGTTGGTGCTTTTAAATTTGGAACTGGAAACTGCAGCTACTACGACGAGAAAATGTACCTCGTTTACAGAAATGGCATCCAGAGCTGCACCTCTGTTGGGAGATTTTGAAATCAAACACTCTGCTACTGTAGTTAGGTACATACTTGTGAAATTTAACAGTTTCATAAATGTAGCCGGTTAGCGGAAACTTTCTTCTGGCGTTTTTCTTTATAAGATTTCCAGTCTTGTAAATCGCTAAGATACGCCCTCCATAAAGCGATGATTCTTCGGTATTACTTAGACATTATTCACCATTTATTCAGCACTGGAACTATCAAGTCCACCTCTAGAGTTCTGAGCAAAGTTCTCTACCACGAACAGATAAGAAAGAATTTTACGTCCAAAAATTTATTCTTCTTACAGTCTTGGTGCTCTGCCCTGAAGATTTTCTTTCTCCTTTAAAAGGTGAACATGATCGACAGATCTATTGCTGCTGTGGGTGGCTTATGTTCTATCGATAAGATAACCAATAATAAAAGGATTACGTTTAATTGTGAAAATCTGCTGTTAGTAGTTGGCCCATTTGTTGGAAATCATACCTAAACTTCGCTTTTGGGGGAGAGTATTTTAACTGATTTAAAACTCAGTTTCATAAACAACAGCCAAAGGTGCAATTTGTTGAAAAAAAATTTCTTTTTCCATTGAGTTAATTAGATTGCGAGGGATTCTAGTATCTCTGTGAACGCTGGTTTATATGCAAATGGTCAAATAAAATGTTTCTGCCTCAGAAAAATTGCGAAATAAGAAATAAAATCAGACTGATATTATTTGATAAGGTTCATATGAGATTTCTATGAACAAAATTATTTGAGTTTCCATTAAGCCCAAATTACCTAAAGGAAACTGTAAATGGATTTTACGTTTGGACTTTGACTGATGTCCTTACTCTTTAATGTTTGTTAATTTTTTATCACTCATCTTTTATGTGTAGTTTATAAGAACTTCATTTGATAGGCGAATTATTGTCATCCAGAAAATATCAGCAAGACCTATTTTAAATAATAAGATAGACTACGATTTAGTATGCAAAACCAATACTGATTTATTCGGCGGCGGATAAACTTATAAAGTTACACTTGATCTGGTAATGTTATTTCAGTTCTAACAGACGTGAAGAGAATTATCGTTATGTTTGAGAACAATGACAAAGTCTTAAGAAGGTTGATAAAATCTTCTTTATTTAAACAGAATTTATAACATAAGAGCACGATCTTGTGCTACAATGACCATAACTCATGGTGATGCAAAAGAAATAGAAGAATCCAATTTAACTGAAATGTTGAAAGGTAGTCAAAGACTGCAAGTTAAATAATATACTGGAAGTTGGCTCACTAACTCTACCGGAGCGTCAGAATTGAAGTGTAGGCAGCAAGGGCTGCAAAGCAGAATAATTATAATTGTTACAGTTGGGCAGGAAACTAACCACGTAGCGTGCCCACGATGCAGCTCTCTCTCTATCTCAAATCTAAAAACCTCAGTTGAAATACTCACTACTAATTTGTTTGGCGAGGAATACGGAAAAGAGAACTTATAGTAGAGATTAAAATTATAATAACTAGTTAACTAAGATTCCCAATAAACCTGTTGTTAAAAAAAGAGATTACTATTAGTGTCGCTGAGTCTGAAATTAACGACTGAAATATAATGTAAGACATTCTCTAACTTAAACTATCTACAACTTATTCACATCAATAAACTTTATCACATACATTTTCTTTTTTTTACTAAACTGGAATCCTAGGGTGCGTGTCTTTATTCCAGATAATATAGTCTGGTGGTTTACTGTACTTTCAGGACACAAATCGTCTCGTATGTCTCCTCTTTAAATCCACCTCTTTATATCTGACTTAAGCAATGCATATTATATGTAATAGTGGCGCATGTAATGTGTAAGAACTTGTGGCGCATGTAATGAAAAGCAGTAATACAATTGCTGGGAGACTATAAGAGTTAAAAAATTTATACGATTCTTGAATGATTATTAAGAATCTAAGTTTTAATTTATTTTTGTTGAAGAAAGACAATTTTTTTTCAGTTTCTTGATATAAGCAGCTACTTTATTAAATAACTTCAAGAAAATAAAACATGTTAAGGGAAAACGAATTAAGGAATGTATAGGGTAAATGTTTTCGTTATTAACATTACAGAAGTATATCTTTCCATAATTTTACACATAAATTTTATAGAAAAATTCAGCTTTTTGAAAATTTACACTTACAATTGAATTTTTTATCAACTCAGATGTATTGATAAAAAAAATTTAAGGTAAAAATTAGTCTAAAAGTAAACTATATTCTTTTATCAAGACAACAATCTGCAATATTCGAACTAATAATTTTTCTAGGCATCTGTCAGAGTAATAAGTTTGTTTACTGAATCGCAATGGTAATGTCTCCATTTTTTGATTCAATAACTAGTATTATTAATTCATCTTTATAAGAAAAGTAATATAGCAGAAGTTCACACAAATGTTATATTTGCAATAATAATATCTTTACTTTTGTATAAATTCATCAAAGAATAGAAACTTGCGTTTTACTTTATGTCTAATTGAATTGATAGAAATTTCGATAATCAGACGCACTTTATAATTACTAAAACAGCTTAAACAACAGAAGCTTCAGAGAACTACAAATCGGAACAGATAGCTTTTGTGTTTCAAACATTAATTGTGTTATTATATTGTTTCTAACTGGATGTTTTAGTTAATGGTATCTTTACTTTGGTATAAGTTCATCAAAGAATAGAAACTTACGTTTTACTTCATGTCTAATCTACTAATTTTCAAACATTTTGATAATCCAAAGCATTTTGTAATCACTAAAAAATCATGAAAAAAAACGGAAGCACTTCCAAAGAACTACAAATCGAAATAGGCACTTCTTATTAGTTAACATACGTTTTCCAACTAGAAGTTTGAATCAATGATAGCTTTATTTTTGTATAACTTCATCAAAGAAAGAAAATTTGCGTTTTACTTTTCCTAATTGAATTTGTAGAAATTTTGATAATCAAAACCATTTTATAATCACTGAAACAGTTTAAACAGCAACAGTTTCAAAGAATTACAAATCGGTAGTTTTTGTGTTCCAAACATTAAAAGTGTTGTCATATGGTTTCCAACTGGAAGTTTGCCATTCGCAAAAAACTCATCCTCTTTAATCAGAAGCTTATTTTTAGAGGTGGTGTGATCTGTACCTGTGCAGTGTTTAGCGTTTTCATGTCCGCCTTTTTCTCCATCATCTGTTACAGAGTGAATGGCCGTGGGAGTTACTTTCAAACGTAAGTAGTAATCACTCTGTAACTGATTCTGGAAGTTTTTAAGATGAATATGTTACCAAAAATATCAATGCGCCAATCTAATATCGTTTGTGCGATTGCATTGTCTTCCATGAATTTTTTGATGATATAGAAAGGTAAATCTAATACAAATATATTTTATTTCGGATTTAATTTCAAGGCAGGCTGACCAAAGTCATCTTTCAACGAATGCGTAGAAGTTGAAGACGATATTGATTGGCTCCAATTCATTCAACTCATCGATATTCATTGGCTAAGCAATCAGCCGTAGATATAAGGCACTTTAAGATAAAATGTTTGTCACTGTGTTGAACTCTGCAGTCAATTTCGGAACGAACAGATTTCCGAGATTCAATACTGACAGGTTCAGCAATGTTGAATATTTAAATAAGCAACCTGTATACGCAAATTTTCTATAGTTTTCGGCAGAAACAAAATAATATAGTAGAAAAATCTTTGACAAAAGGTCAAAGATTCGTAATTGTATGGAAAAAATTTAAAATGAAAAATGCTGCAGGAAAACAAATATTTTTTAACTTGATGACATTAGTAAATGCTTTAATAGATCATCATCAGTAGTAATCAAAAAGGCTATTTTCAGTACTAGCAATAAATTAAATAAAAATAAATTGAAATACATTTGCCAAATGAACGTTTTTTGATGAATAAAAAACTATAATATTATCAGCTTCAGGTATTTCTATTTCTGAAAAATTATTTAGTTTAGCCAAATCTGCTAAAATTAATAAATAAATAATTCCAGCTGTTTTTCATTTCATATTTTTTGCTGCGTAAGAATATATGTAAAAAGCTTATTAAATATCTGAAGAATTTCATATTAAATTAGTTTAATACCTAAACAGTATATATTTTCTCAAATGAGGCTATGAAACCTTTCCGACTCCATAAATGACTGTCAAAAGTCTGTTTAAATCAAAAAGGACAGGGATTCGCATTATTTTTAAGGATTCAGATAGAAATTTGTAAAACAGCCTACATTGGTGAAGCTCTTTCCAGCAGCATTCAAGCAGGATGAAGTTGGGTTGCTTCTTATAATATTGCTTTACTTATCAGAGAACACACAAGGGAGTATTCCGGACTTTGCTATGGAAGTCACCAACAGAGATCAGCAACAATTCCCTTTGAGTAACAACACAATCCCAAGAACGTACATGAGAGGGTGAAAATACCGAGAATAATATTAAAAAAAAAAAACTCAGTTTTAAATACTGCTATATGAGCCAGCTATGCCAGGGAGTGAAGCTTTACTTTTCCTTATGTCACATAAGGGATCCAACAAATCTACTAAGTGTTCTTATAGGTGAAACTTCACAAACTTAAACTGAAAGGTCTTAAACTGGGGTACCCTAAAAAGCCCCAGTCGCCCTTTAAAAGGGGGAGTATATAAGGTATTTCTCCCGCCTCAGTAGCGTGCCTTCGTGGCGTAGTGGTCAGCAAACTGAGCCGGTATTCCAGAGGTCCACGGTTCGATTCCCAGTGAAGGCGTTTGCTAATTTTTCATCTTGTCTGCTTCCAAAAAAATCCTAATGTCTTTACAGAGTCATCAGGACTTCTTGAAGCAGAAGACGTGTAAGATGTGCATTGCCCTGGCTGGCCCTTTACAAGGTGGCAAAAGCGCTGGCTCGTTTGCCCTTTAAAACGTGAAAAAAAATTTTTTTAAAAAAACAGTTTTTTCCACCTGTTAAAGGGCTACAGCGGATTAGGGGATCTAGACGTCAAATCTTGATGGTGGCGAGTTATAGTCCAACACCTTTTAATTCGGGCGCCACTTGTAGAGTCATTGGGTTACTTTGAAGCAAGAGACGTGAAATGTGTGCATTGCCCTCCCCGGGTTTCCAGCCATGGACCTCTCGAATACGCGTCGAGTGGGCTTCCAGTTCCACCTCGAAGTGTAACCACCTCGAAGTGTGAAAGAAAGGGAGGTAATACCTAACAATATAGTTGAATAGTTTCAAGATTTAGAAGCTCTACAACAGCATTTATGAGCAAATGAAAAGCTAAAATTTAAATTTAGATTTAGAAACCAAATGTTTTGGTTGCAGAAGCAGATATTTAAACTTTATTGGTTTTATGGGACATTCCACTAAATTCTTTTTATCGCATGTATTTCACCTTATTTAGTGGGACGTGGGTCGTTAGAGTTGCAGGTGTTGATAACGTAAACAGAGAAGAATAGTGACAAACTTGTCGAAGCCTATCGAACTCAACTTTGTCATTAAACTTATTTTATTATGAGTTTAATTAATAAGCTCCTACGTATAATTTAATTAAATGTGACTGTGTATTTACCTTAATTTAATGAATATGCAGATAAACCTATCACATTATTCATTTTTTAATTTCTTAATTATTAAAAAAATATAAATGTGAATTCTCGGAAAAGGAGAGCTTTGAAATTCAATATTTTCTAAAAGCGGGCAATAAACCAAAAACGTATAAGAAACATTGTTCTAGATAAAGGAAAACAAAAGAAAATTTAATTTAATACTTTTTTATGTAGTTAATACGCTTTTTTGTTGTGTGGTCCCCCTGACTCATGGTGAATCATTGAATCTGTATCACATTTTAAGCAACGAAAACCAGATGAGAACTACTAGTATTGGCATGTTTTATGAGAATTAACATGCTGACAGATGCTAGCTTGGAGGCAGGACACTCATGTAAAAAAAGATCTATTGCAACTGATCTCTGGCTAATTATTATCGTATGACAAAATATATTCTAAGAAAATAATAATAATAAAAATCTGAAAGGTTTCAGATTTTAAATTACGTTCAAAGGGGCGTTTTTTCAAAGTTTTGTGTGTTAACTTTATTTATTCAATATCATGTTCTTTGCACTAAAACCATAAAATTCAGTTCAATAGCAATGTCGCAAAATGATTTTAAAATGAGCCTATCTTTAGAATATCCAATACTACGTTCCACGCGCTAGAGATAAAAAGGTCCCCCCCCCCCGTAGAGTGTTGCTATTGCTCGCTTTGAAATCCTTGAGTTTGTTAATCAAAAATTCGTTAACGTTTTACAAAATATGAAATCGATCATATAACAAATTCCAAATTTCAAATTGGGTCTTCCACGTGCCCATATTCGTAGGAGGATTACGTCATTCAAAATTCGATGGCTCTAGGTACCGTTGTTTTATCACAATGCGAGAAATATACATACATTTATGCAGATTTTACATTATTTAATTTCTTCTAATATAATGCAGAACATTTGGTGGCAACAGTTTGAAAAAGTGAAACGGACATTTATAGTGATTCAACGCAAAATCGCAAAACGAAAACAATAGTCCTTCAGGAACAATGCCCCTTTGGACTAATAAAGAAACAAGGAAAGTCACAGATAATTCTTGCATGTCGTATTATTTCAACCACTGAGTGATCATTATGCGACGATACATCGAAGTGACATTTTGACGTAAATTAAAGTCATATTTCCGAAAATAAAATTTCCGCAATAACTGCAGATGGCAGATTCTGTTTTATGATTGGCATTCGTCTATTTGTATACTAACATTCTGTGCAGACTTGACAGTTTGGATTGAAAGGCCTTTGAAAACTTGTGAATGTGTACGCTTCTTAATATAGCGACATCTTTCTTTTTACGTTTATTTTGTTTAATAAGTACGAATAATAAATATTTTCATGTCAGTAGAAAATCAAGATTCAAAGCAAAAAGGAAAAGTAACTCATTGGAAATGTTTCCTGCTTTTGACAATGGAACTGGTTTGAAAATTAACCGGAAAATTTAATACTCTACTATAATTAAGGCTAGAAAAGAAATTTGTCGCGATATTTAAATTAAACAATTTCAATTTTAGAAATATCTCCTTCTAAGGATTAAGTTTTAGAGATTCGTTTCTTTAAATCTTGATTTGAGAAATCTCTAAATTTAGTCCACATGAGATTTGTAAGCAAGCAAATTCGCTACTTTAAATCATTCTAAATTTTATTTATTAAAATAGTGGTCCTCTTAACAATGTAATTTATTGAGCTCTGTATTGTTCTGAATTTTGAAAGAACTTGCGCCTGTTTAATATTATTGTTGTTTTGCATATTGTTAACATTTAATATTGTTTTTTATTTAGTTATTTGCTTACTTTTTGCATTGTAGCTAATAATTTTGGGATGTATTTTTATGTAATTGAATTTAAGATTACGTATCTGTACGTAAGGGTTTACTTGTTGAACATAATTATAGAGTTTGTGATTCTGAATCCAAAAGCGTTTAAATTGTGAAAATAGCTCAACTAGAACGCAAAATACTGGCAAAAGCAGTCCTAATGGGCAATGACCAACAATGTTTTCACCAATTTGAAGACATCTGGCAATTTTACGCCAGCTTGACGACTTTCTAGAAGTTTCGGAAAAATGCACTTTTGGAGTTTTAGAACAATTTTTTCATAAAATTTCAAGAATTGCAACACTCTATAAATACAGCTTTAGCTCTGAAAGAGTATATGGGTCAAAAACATTTAAATGAATAGTCGGTGAGTGATGTCGGAAATTTACGATATTTCCTGAGCGTTAAGGATTTGATTAACATCAGCATTCTTCTTGAGTCATTTACAACTATTCATTCTTCCTGTGCGCTGTTATTTTTCCAATAAATTCTCAGTTTCATACTCTTCCTGTAGTAATTATTTATAGCGATATCCACGAATCCGTTGTTCGCAAAAGTATTCTAGTTCTTACCTCTGTGTAGTTAACCCTTAATAAAACATATATATTAAAAATTTCAAAGATCAAAACACTTAGTTCTGTTCTTATACTGATTTTCCTTACATGAATTTAATTTAACACGAATTCAAGGTAAATATATCATTCCCTTTTTACTCGTGGCATTTGATTTAATACGAGCTGGCTCAGCCAGTTTCTAAGAGTTTTTATTTATTTATTTATTTTTGCCTAAATTCTAAAAAACAATTACTTTGCATAGTAGTACACATATGCACAA